GTTGATTGAGCTTAAGTGTCAAGAAAGTGTCAAGTTTCTCTAAAATAATTATAGCACGCAATATATACAGTTGGCGGACTTCGGGGTTGTCTCCAGTAGCTAAAAATTTCCTTCTGTAATCTGTATTTCTTTTGTTTTGATAAATTAATGTTGTTTTATCACATTTGGAAACACTTATTATACCAATGCAACAGCAATATTAACATTTAAATAAAGAATTCTTCTTTTTTTTGATTAATAACTCAGGCTAATGGTGCCTATGAATTATTCATTCATTCATCTTTCTTTTTTTGCTTTATTTTTCCTTTTTTTTTGTTGTTTTTTTTCTTTGCTCGACAATTTTTTGACACTACAAAGATTTTAGAAGTGCACTCAATCAGCGATGATTGAACTTTCTGTTTGCTGTACTGTACTTTAGTCTATTTGCTGTATTTTTTTTCCTTGCTTCTTTTTTTTATTGGAACAGTTTTTCCAGAAATATGGGATTTTCCCAGTATAATGATGTTTAGTGACGGGACTAAAATAGCTTACTGCTGCTGTTGAGGTTGCTGTTACCGATGATGATGATGATATGTTCGGTATACAGCAGTGGTGGTGATGTTGCTGGTTGCGCAATCTATTGACACTTTGGACACTGGGCTTTTTCTAAATCGATTTAATGGATTATAAATCCATAATCTGTAATAAAAGGTCAATTCAGACCTATATTCAGGCCAAATTTTGGCTTATATTATTCAGTTTTGTTTAATTAATTTGTGAAAAAAAATGAAGTTTTCTCCTGCTGAATTCCGCTATTCTATTCATCTTTTGAAGAATGATTGATGTTATTTGATACTTTCGTACGTTATGTGATAATCAAATGCTTTTCTCTCCCATATTGATACTGCCTAGTTGTTGTTGTAAACGATTTCTGTTATTATTGTTCTGTCGTTGGAAATACGTTCCAAATGAATGTACACATGTGGTGAACTGAATTTTCAAAACTTAATTTTTTTTAGGGTGTAATGTCTTTCACTGCAACAAGTAAAGAGATATCTTGGATAGCTATGGAACAGGATTCTGATTCTCGGGATTCAGGTATTACCGTGGGACGAGAAGAAGTGAGTAACAGTAGTCAGGATAGTATTGTTAACGAATGGCATACAAAGCTTAGCAGTTCTCCACGAGTAAGTTTTGAACAATCGAAAGTAATTATACTTCACAGATTACTTTATTGCAGTCAATTCCGATTTCCAAACTATTTGTGGACGTGAATGGAAAAGCTGTAGTGATAACTTACTTAATTTTTAATTTTGGAATGAGGACTGTTATGGTGGAACACATCTGATTTCGGTCGATAAGCTCAAAAACCTTTATTCCTTTCAAGAGGTTTAGATGAGGACTTCGCTGTTCTCGAAACAAAATTGGCATATGGTCAACCTTGGTGTTAGCGATGCCTATTCAATTATATCGTAAAATGAAGACATAAAAAAAAAAACATAAATTGATTTTATGCGTTAACGAACTGAAGACGCTTAATCCGGGCTATATTTTTCCTTCTTTTCTTTTTGTCATGCAGAAAAAAATTTTTCACATATATTATTAGTGCTAAAGATTGTTGGTTACAAATTAGAGGGGAAATTAAAGAAAAATTCAATATTACGGATAGGATTAGTGCAACGACGGTTTCGTTCTACTAGATTTATGATCGAAAGGAGCAGCAAAGCTTTGCTTTATAGTTTTATTGCTTTTCAATTTTAAGGTATTGTTTGGATTGGATGAAGGTATTGAAGATCTTGTTCTCAGTGAGATCAGTTCAAATAAAGAGAACGGAGAATCATTTGCGGCATCACTGCGTCAATTAGGCAAACATGGATTTTCCAAAGAAAATAAGACGGGACTAATGGATGTTACTAACAAGTAACTGCTTTAAAATAATCATGGCTTCAAAAATTATGGGAGTAAAAGGTTTTGGATGATCATTTGGAAGCAAAGATCTAATTCTGAGTGTTTCTGTAGGGATGTTCACGACGAGTCTCCAAAGTCACATTTGACGAAAGTAGTGAAACGGTCTCGTTTACACGACTTTAACTTCAATGTTAGCAAGAGGACCAGTCGGATGTATTCAAATGTCGAACTACAGAATTCTCGAAAAAGGAACTTAGAAATTACTCCAGTTATACAGTTGAAAAAAAAGGATAATAGAAGCGACGGCGCCAAGGTGCGTGGTCACTATCATTCTTTACAAGCAGCGTACTATTTTATTACAAAGAACAGGTTTTTTTATGGTTTACTAATTTTTTTAGGTAGTTACTCGACAGCGTGATTTGCATTCTTTTATAAGAACTCAATCGTGTAGTGTAGTTGAGGCTAGTGGTCGTTCCAAAGCTCCGGAAAAAGGCCTTCCTCAAACCTTAAGAGTTGTAAGTTCCCCGAATTTTCTTACATCGGCATCTGCTTCGTTTTCCCTGAGCTATCTAAAATACCACTTTCCCGATATTCTTTATCTACAGTTAAAAAGTCTTCAGACGCAGAAAAATTATGAGAATTGACCGGAAGAAAACTGTTTTAGAATTACTCACTGGAAACAATATCTAAACCGCAGATCGAATCAGTAGCATTTAAAAGTGTTAGTGGCGACGTAATTGCAAAACTGATGACGTCAATGAGTGAAGAAGAATTTCGGAAGAAATTTCTCATTGTGGATTGTCGATATCCATATGAATATAATGGAGGGCATCTAAAGGTTTGTTAGTAGTTGTATATACTAGTCAAACAAACCATTTTTGTTTTTTTTTCTTTGCTGTAAAAAAGTCACTTGCTGCGTTAAAAAGTAAAAATTACAAGATTTGATTTCAGGGTGCTGTAAACATTTTTGATACAGCTTTGATAAAAGAAGTATTTTTCCCAGAATCTGCAGATCAGTTTAAAGAAACTTCATCAAAGATACCAATTTTTTATTGTGAATATTCTCAGAAGCGTGGTCCTCAAATGTAAGTAGTAGTTTTCTGGCGTTTTTGGAAAGAAGTATATAAATCAAAAAGTTGCCACCCATGATGTGGATATATGTAGGGCTCATGCTTTACGTCGAGAAGATCGGAAACGGAATGAAGAAAGATATCCAGAAGTAGACTATAAGGAAATGTATTTGCTTGATAGAGGTTACAAAAAGTTTTTTGAAGTGGACAAATATGTGGTAAGATTTACAGTCGTCTTCAGCTTTTTTAATAGTTCCCATGTTGTGAACTGTATTGCTGTAATTCAGTCAATGGGAATAATTTAATACTTTTAATTCGTTCCATATTTTTCTTTTGTTATATACCAATAAAAAAAAACACTTGATATTGACATTACTAAAACTTTAGCATCTGTGTGAACCGCAGTCTTATACAGCGATGATCGCTTCACCTCATAAGGAGGATTTGAAACGATACCAAATGCACAAATCGAAGTCGACGACCTGCATTGGCACTTATTTATTCGGTGGTCAGCGAGAGCTTCCAAAAGTTAGGAATAGGTTTGCTGTCTCGGTTGAAGAACCGTTATTTGAAAATGATGACCCAAGCGTTTCTGATCCATCAAATCTTTCACCAGCAAGCAGAAAATCTCGTCGAGGCAATATGTTTGGCTCGCCGTTTACATTACCGGAACCCAAAACACCAGAACAAACACCGCTTAAACCAATTCCATTTGGCTCCTATTCTTGACAAAAGTCGTTAAAAAAATTTGAAATCGCACAACAAGTGGTTGTGCATTATTGCTTCCCTACACTGTAGACGAAAGATAAAAAACTGTATTGCAAAATTTCAGAGTAACATAGTCTTTGTTGATTATCTGCTTCTGAGGATTGAAAATCAGAAGAAAAAAAGAACAAAGGATAACTTGTTAGTACTTAATAAGTAGACGACAACTTGAAAGTGTTAATGGTTGATAATTTTGGAAATCTCTTTTTTCGTCTACGACTTTGTGGGTATAATGGAGGCAACAAAAAAGTAAAACGAAAAAAAAAGAAGATGTCGAAGACTAAGGTTTTTAATATCATCATAAATATGGCTAAGGTTTTGCTAAGTCTACTGAATAGAGCTGTGACATTTTTGGGACTAGTACAATTTCTAGGAGTAGGAATAAAAGAGGAAAAAAGTATAAGGAAAAAAACGAGTGGACAAATTAAATAAAGATGGTTTTTTTTGTTTTTCTTTTTCTTTTTTTCTTGCTAAACTAAGTCTTAAACAACACCTCAGATCAACAAATTTTTAAATCAGTTTGGAATTTTTTTTTGTTCTTCTTATTTAGCAGTCAAACAAGCAACAGTGGTTAACCATAACAGATTTTAGAGTAAAATCCATCAAGAAAGCAAACAGTTTTTGAATTTTGCAAAAATAATTTCATGGTCTCAAAGTTCCATATTGGAGTCTGTGATAAATTTTTTTTCTTTCATCTTACTTGTCGCGTCTATTTTATGGGAAATAAAAATATGGTACAGTAGGTACGTATCTGCGTGCAAGTGTATGTGTGTGTGTCTATCTGATTGGGTATATAATGTATGTGTTAATAATAAACGACCTATTGTTATCGTTTTTATTGTAACTATTAATTTTACAAGTATTATGTTAAACAGACTTGAAAAAATTATCCAGCGACCCACAATGGAATAGATGTTAATAATAGTAACAGAACTTTTCTTCAGTGCTTTTTTTTTTTTTTTTTTTGAGCACTATTTGTTTAATACATATACTTATGTAGCACTTCTGTAGCCGAAATCATTGCATTTGTAGAAAAGTTTGGTTTTTTTTTATTGGTTGTTACTGTATAAATTTGTTTTTGTTGCAATTTTTTTTCAGTCTACTTGATACTAATTCTCTTCAATAACTTTTTTAGAATCAAATTAATATGTTGTTGACAAATTAATTTGTTCCGTCAGTTTTTTTTTTTTGTCCTTCTGCGAAACCAAAGTTTTTTAAGTGCATTGTAGAACATATATTGGTTAGTCTGCTCTGCAAATTTCTTTTTATTTTTATTCTTTTGTTTTTATACTTTCAACTTTATTTTTGATTCGGTTTGCTCAGTTTCTCTGTATTTTGTTGTGATGTAACTGTTCTTGAGCATACGTTTTTTGCGTATCTGTATATAGTGTGTGTATGTGTGCGTCTGTGTGAGTGTGTGTTTGTATGTGTGTTGGTGGGTATTTATATGAATCTGGATGAATTTGTAACTTTGTAATGATGATTTGTTATTGTCTGTGTTAACGATAACTGTGATACATCATTCATGTGAAAAAGCCTCAACGTTTTTTACAATGACTCTTGAGAATTAATCCGATGGGGAAACTCTGAATATTTGAACAAAAACTCTAAAACAACGGTTACTGTGGGCAGTAACTGTTCTCAAGAGTTCATTTGAAGAAGAGGGTTCAAAAAAAATTTCAAAGTTTAAAAAGTTCGAATTGGTTGCGTTTAGACGGCATAAATGTTTTAATGATAATCATTTTTAATTATGGGGTTGTACGCATTGATGTATCATTATTTTTATTCATTGATAAAATGGTTCTAATTTATTTTCGCTTGTTCAGAAACACTAACCAATGTACAATTGTTACAAAGCAAGAATACTGACAGCATTTGAACCTTAAAGATTTGACGCCCTTAAAGGAACACCGTGTAGTTGCTTCCAAAAATATAATAAATTTTAAAAAGGAGAAGAATAAGATGAACAATGTTCACAATAAGCCACAAAAACTAATAGATTTAGGTGAGCCGTAATGTAGTTCCTGAGTAGGCTGGCAGATTAAAAACAAAAAAATTGTGTGACGTTGATACATTATTTGAAGCAGCGCTAAAAGATTGAACAGAACTGCTTGGAAGGTTGCATAACCACTATCAGAACCGTCGCTAAGAATACTGTGATTGGCTAAGAAATGAGTACAAGAAATCCATAGTACTGAATTCCACTGCCGGCGAGCTATTTATTCAAGATAAGTGGATACTCGACCCCAAATGTTCTCTTAGGAATTACCACACAGAATTCCTGTTCAGCTACATTCAGAAATTCTTCAAAACTGACAGGGATCTGTATATTTGCAGCTAAACGTAGCACTGCTTTATAATTCTTTGTTTTAAATAATTCCCACTTTTTTTGTCGGTTACCTTTACATACACGTATTCTGCACACATTTTACCACCGTCTTTAGGCGTCCGAAGCACAAGTTGTCAAAAAGCTTAAGAATTCTGCTTGTCATAACCACCACACATTATACAGCAGAATTTTCCACTTCTGGACGCCGCATTCTCAAAGGGCTTTGGCGACCAACAATCCTCGGCCTCATTCATCTCGCCTGTCAACCCACTCCAGTTTAGGTCGCAGAAATAAGTTCAAAAATAACGCTCACCTCATCGGTCCTCTCATCCATTGTTTCACTGACCAATAGGCGACACAGCGTTGAACCGACCAGGTATATTCTGAAATCCAGCTCTTCTGAGCCGTTAAGGAATCTACAGTAATGATGAGTTTCAACCAGTAGTTCTGCGTGTTTCTGGAATAGCCAATAAGCTTGAAAGGTTTTGATCCCTGTTACGGCTGAAGCTTACTTTTGATGTTCTCAGCTTGTTAAGTCTTTTCCTACACCCCGTAGCCCCGCAGTCCCCCATTTGCTATTCCCCAGCGCTAGTACGCCTGATTTGCGACACAACGCTCGCTTCAAAATAATTGCAGCAAAGATGGTAGCAAACACCTCCGACGGTTTTTATAAAGTTCCACTCGTCTGACTAATTTTTGGTTGATGTAGCAGTGTTAATCTCCGTTACCAAAAAGAATCAAAACTCTCTTCTGCCATTTCCAGCAAAGTCTTTCACGAATCTTCGCTTCTGTCTAAAGCGAAGGAGAAGAAATTGATTGCTAAAAAAATTAGCAATAAAGTGCCAAGAATTGCCGTTTTCAAAAAAAGCGAGTCAAAAATTTTTTAGTAATTGGGAAGTAAAGTTTCTTGCTCAGGTCCCCGGTTATTTTCCTAATCCTTAATCCCTCCACCTCACACCAAATCAAAAAAAAAAAAAAGATTTCCTCAGTAAGTGTTGAGTTGGAGCCGTTCAATGAACCACCAAGTCTAGTGGAAACAGTCGAGAGTTTTCCGCAGCTTTATCGAACTTTAAACAATTTCACGCGGATGATGGACTGAGCGTTTAAGAGTAGTACACCGTGCAGAATTTGTTTCGGGCGTAATCTTACAGGATGAAATTAAAAGCCTGATTCACGATGCGTTACAAAAAGCGTTTGCTTTAAACACTCGAAAAATGTGACAAATCAGAAAGGGTCTCAAATAAACGGTAAAGCAAAAAGTGGTCCTGAACAAATAATTTAGTCTGAAACTCTCTGTTTTACTAAATTAACATTTGCCGATTCGAATGAAAAGTTTTTAAACAAATTATAATTTATACATTATGAACGACACAGCTGGGAGCTAAATTTAGATTTTAATTTTATATCAAACTTTTACACCATTACTTACCACAAACGTTCCGTACGGTACAATTCATTAATCAGTCCAGTACTGTCTTTCCTGAAACCAAAGACGATCTGCCGCGGTAATACGCGAGACGTCAAAATCCACCAGACGATGGCGACTGTTCACTCTCTGAAGAGACTCTTTCAAAGGGGCGACAATTGGTCATGGTCAACGTGGCAAACTCAAGACGATGATTGCTGGAGAGGAGAGTAGCCTACAAGAGAAGGGTGGCTGGTCAGTCTCAGCACCTGAAAGGAAAGGTGGCTAGTTGAAAAAAGAAGATAAATGCAAGCTATGAAAGAATTTGCAAAGCTTCAAGATTAAATTGTCTCTCGGTCACTTCTGATCATCATCAGTTGTTGCTTCAAGTGTTTCCTAGCTTCATTGTGTCTTTTTATAGCACTCGGCAATCAAAATTCTGTTTCTTCCAATTATTGATTTCTGTTTCTTTATTATTATTATTATTATTATTATTATTATTATTGTTATTGGTTACGTGTTCGTTATCGTTCATCTTTTTTTAGCCTTTGTTTTCTAATTTATTGTAAAACTAGTGTAAAAATGTTATAGAACTATTATACAAGAAAAAACAACAATGGCAACGACAAGTTCTAACGATGTTGTGCTGCATATTTTCAAAAAATATTCATTTTGAAGCTCTTTTATTTTGTAAAATTTTAACTCCACTATAAAGTCGAGTGATATTTCTGTAAAACAACTATATTTTGTTCCCTTTCAATTTATATGATGAAACCATCACGGTGCTCAATTTGAGAAAAAAATTTGAGGAAGATGAGAGGTTGTAAAGATCATACTGCACCATTGAAATGATGTAATCAATCGAAGCGATTTCTTGGTTGAACAAACACTGCAGGCTTGAAACATACTCTATACAAAGCTGCAATACGGTATAACACGTTTTTAAGCAAGCCCAGTGAATGTTGATCAATTTAAAACCAGTGTTTCAAATGACACATAATGCTGTTTTTCGAATCTAGTCGAAGTTGCAAATGGAGAAACTTATAGCAAATACCCTACCTGGCAAAAAGATGTCTCAAATGATGCCTTTCAAAATTTGTACAAAATCCAGAAAACCAGATGGCAGGAAAGCAATAAACACTCAAATAAGAATCAAACTGATATGCCGCCTATACGTGTATGCATGTACATCTTCCTTGACAGAAATGTATTCATTCACTCTATGCACTGTACTAATGTTTGCCAAATGTATAAATTCATCTTCCTCACCAAAACTTCACAACCACTTGTTCAAAAATCATTTCATAGTAAGAGAAAGCTACACGACCGACCGGAAAAAAAAGCAAGATGAAACAAGGCAATTGCAAGGACCAACCAGTGTTGAAAAGCATAACGCCACCTAAAAACTCAACTTGGCGACTTCATGTCTCCAATAACAAATATATCACATTACAACAGTAATACGACCGCCGTGAACCACCAAGTGATTATTACCAAAGTAATATACCTAATTAAACCACTTTAAAAGCCCAAACTTCCAAAAACCCTCAAATTACTAGATACGGCGCAAAAGTGGTTACATCACACTTGATGCAGAAATAAAAAAAATTATACTGTAATTAGAAAAACCATTAACGGAGCGTCTCATAAACAGTGATTCAACATAAATATGCAAATATGATAAAAGCCGCTATTCCAACAGCCAATTGTGTTAAACGACGAATTCTCATCTTCAAGACAAAAAGGGGTAACCACAAAATATTCTTTACAGTCAGCGTTCTGAAAAGTCCACGCAAAAACATCAAAATGTGTTCAAGAAAGAAAAAAATAGAACAAAAAATCAATCCAAGAACGACAAATATAATTTATTATACAGGATCAGGAATACAGAATAGAAAATCAATAAAACGCATTGATCCTATGCTACACACCTTGAGAACGAAATGAATAGACAGAAAATATACAAAGTAACATAAGGCCCCAAAAACGATATAAAAAATTAAAGCCCAACAAACTAACATGCAAATGCTTCATTTCATGTGCTTCGAAAGAACCAATCAAAAAAAGAAATGCTCAAAATTTCACTGGAAGAAACCCACAAAAAACTCATAAATCAAAGTATTGCTACCCGGTAGTAGAATGAACAATAAAACTTCGTCCCCTCAACAAGAAGCTTCAAAAGACAAAAATTCAAAAATGCTAACTGTCTTTTTTAAAATGCTAGACTGCAGCAAAGCTGCAAGTTTGTTCACAAGCGAATGATACCATACTATATAAATTATCTCCGACTGACCGACTAGACTGGGAAGAACAACCAAATGAGAGCAATTCATAGAAAAAAAAAAGACGATAAAAAATCCAGTAATGTACAACAGAGCATCCCGTCAAGCAGTGAAAGCACGAAACTGAGTAACGTCCATTAAAATAACTTCAAAAGCAAAAAAAAGTTCACGAACACACCTACGACAATGACAAAGCACCTTAAAAACATTTGTAGGCTAAAAACAAGATGACAATTTACCAAACTCACTGATTTATTGACCTAAACAATTTCCACCGTCCGCTTGACTAACATGGAATCATAGTAAAAATAAAAATAGATACAAAAAAACAATTAAAAAAGTGAAAGACAGATAAAGGCAGATCAGTTGACAATTTTGGGTAACTCAGGGAAATCTGAATCAAAATTAAGCAGAATAAGTTTAGTGTCCTCAGTACCATTCCTGGACCCCACCGCACAAACTAGCATTGTCGGCGTCGACTTAAGACGCCAAATACAGCCTCCAGAACCACCAGATTGAAGACGAACCAAATCGCGAATAAAAGTACCTAAAAAGCCATTATTACCCGACTAACTAATATAAACCTTTCCCAATCTATCTACACT